TTTAACTCATTTTCTTTGCCCAAATACCAGCAGTTGGAAGGAAGTCCGTGACTTTCCATTCTGGTCCTTTCCATCTGCCGTTGCCTTAACCACCGAGGCACATCGGCTGTCGAGCTACCACTGCTCAGTCAGCTCATCCATAGCATGAAGTAATATTACACCTCATATATAAACCCTATCTTGGCTTTTATACGGATACAACATCACACACTGAGTCAACAGATTTCATAGCCTAGCTAATTAGCCCTTTTTTCAAACACAAGTATCTAGTGAAAAAGATGGAAAAATCAGAAAAGGAGAGCACAAAAATCGGAAATATAGTTAAAAACATCTGCCAGTGAATGACCAGACTTTCATGTATTTTTTTTCCCCACAAAAGGCTAGCTATATATTTTTTCTATGCACATGCCTTTCCCCTATTATTTTGCTGTGCTGCTCTAAAGTGCAGTCAGCATTCAAAGATCGTGGAGACCCTATGCTATAGAAGGTGCTCTCACTTAATTTCTGGACAAAGCACATCCTAGAAAGTCTAATGTTTCATGACTCATTCTCCGCTTTTTAGATGTCAAAGACACTTGTGGCAACCAAAGGGTTAATAATATGAGCGGAGCGGGGAGGAAGCAGAAACGGGCCTTGCCTTTTCAGATTTTCAGAACAGGTGGCTTAGTAGGTAGCCACTGATTCCAAAGTGAGACTTCTAAATATAAATGAAGTGCTTTGTAGGCTACTGACTGCCAGTGAAGCCTGTCGAGTACAAGGGGAACTGCAAGCATTTGGCATGGCACACAATCAGGCCACTGTTTAACAGGGCTCAGCAGAGCTTTGAGGACCTGCTACCATCCCACTTCATAGGAAAATCTTGGCATTAGTGCATTTTTTGAGGGTTTAAGTAGCTAGGAATACAAGGACTTATGTAAACCATATAATCATACAGCTCTTGTCAGCTACCAGCAAATGTTCTGTCAGATCCAATGTAATTTTTTTGTATTTCCTTGTAAATTCAAAATACATTACTCAGTAATGAGTACTAGAATGAAGGTTCACTTTTCATATCAGACTCTGTAATATTACCGTTAAACATCCAGTTAAGACATATAAAGCCCTGCCAAGGTTCTATTCCCTGGAGAAATTAACAGATTGAGTTTTCAGATCTCCTGTTTTGCGGGATTTTTTTTTTTAAATCTCATGTCAGAGATGTTGGAAAAGACAGAAATACCTGGTTAAACATCAGGAGAAAAGCTAAAATACCATAAAAACAATGACAATAATGGAAGGGAAAAATAATTGCTAAAATAGGATTTTCATATTAGACCATGTCAGTTATAATTATTGTAGAATGAAACAAAATTCTAATTATTACATTATGTATGGCCACAAATGTTCATAATCAACTAGTATGCTACACTGACATAGCAATTATTTCTGTTTATTTCAATATTATCAAAGCAGGGGTACTGGACATCCAGCTTTTCACAGAGACCTATATTTGTCCAGGGTATAGCTGGCAACTTGACCAGCTTACAGCACCACTATTTGATTGTCTTATTGATAATCTTAGCAGAGGCAAAAAAAAAAAAAGCAAATGTGCTAAAGATTGGCTGGCCTCCCTCTCTCCAGATCAGGACTGACACACATTGGTAGGGCAGGGAAGGGTTAAACAAGACATGGAAAATATAAGAGAGTCAGAAAGCCAGACAGTGATTTGGATATAGAGGAGCTGGATATAGTAGACTGACCGTTCAGCCTCATTTCTGAAAAGAGAGCTCCAACAAATCTCCACCAAGAAAAAATGTTTAACAAAGGGAAGAACAAAAAGT